ATCAATGAAAGTATCTTAAAATTGCCTACCCAGCCACTGTTAAACACTGCAGTTCAGCTGCAATTCTTACAGGATGACTTGTTGGAATTAAGTGTTTTAGAGCAATTTTCTCTTCAGGTCCTACTTGTAACTGTGCTGTGGCCAAATAAACAGAGCTGAATGTGCCTGTAAAATAATTTATTAAGTTTTAAATATCTCACTTTTTAAAATGTTAATGAAATGATACTATTTATAGATGAAGAAACTTTGAATGGCATAATATATTAAAACAGGACTGTTCATTTTACTGTAAATATTTATGTTTTCACACTTTACAGGAGGGAAAAAAGAGAAAAGCTGTTACCATAATAATATTACCATGGTCTTAATAGTTTAAAAATAGGGTATTTTCAACAAATAATAATGAAAACTTAGATTATGCAAAGAAAACAGACGGAGGAAAAACTTGTAAAGGTAATAAAATATATCTCTAAATTACCTTCTCCAATTTTGTCCTTTATTTTAAACACATTACTAAGCTGTGGTACAGCTTCATACAGCTTCTCAATATCTTTTTTAACACCTACCAAGGAAAAGAGAAAGTATAAATAATACAATTAACAAGAGCTCTTTTACAGTTTCTCAACTTAAAAAATAAAATAAAATGTAATTAATCACAAATGTTTTAATGAATCTTAAAATTGTAAGAATATTGAAAACTCCATCCAACTGCTACTACCCACATACACCTATTTTAGCTAATGGACAAAAAGATAGTCTCAGATTATAAATAGCAAATTTCTACTACACTGGAATTACACACTAATAACTACATTGCTATTGCATATTTGTCTTTTAAATGAAGAAGCTAATTTTTTATTCGTTTCTTTTTTAAAATTAAATTATTTATTTATTCTAATTTGTTATACATGATGGCATAATGCAATTCATTTCATATTACACATATAGAGCACAATTTTTGAAGTCACTGATTATACACAAAGTATTTTCACACCATTCTTGTCTTCATACATGTACTTAGGGTAATAATGTCTAACACATTCCACCATCATTCCTACCCCTTTAACCCCTCCCTCCCCCTCCCCCATCTTCATTATGAGTCAGCATCCTCATTAAAAAAAAAAACAAAAAAAAACTACTTTTGGTTTTTTGGGATTGGCTAATTTCACTTAGCATTATATTCTCCAACTCCATCCATTTACCTTCAAATGCCATGATTTTATTCTCTCTTAATGCTAAGTAATATTCCATTGTGTATATATGCCACATTTTATTTATCCATTCATCTACTGAAGGGCATCTAGGTTGGTTCCAGAGTTTA